CAGTCTAGAAGGGATACAGGTGTGGATCAATATAGCATAACAATATAAAATAAAATAATTCATATTACTTTGAGGGTAAAGGTAGACGTTCATATAATACAGTTTAATGGGTAATTTAATAAATAATATGAATTACACTCTGTGTAATTACTGTTCTTACATTACTATGAGGGGTTGATTAAGGGTTGGGGTTGACGTTAATAAAATATAATGGGTAATTTAATAAATAATATAAAAAATTATTACTGTTTTTACATTACTGTGAGGGTTGGGTTTAGGGTTGGGGTATACAATAATAAAATGTAATGGGTAATTTAATAATTAATATGCAGAAATCATGGTAAAATCACTGTTCTTACATTACTGTGAGGGTTGTGTTTAGGGTTGGGGTAGACTTTAATAAAATATAATAAGCAATTTATTAAATAATGTGAATGATATTCAGTATAATTACTGTTCTTACATTACTGTCAGGGTTGGGGTAGATGTTAATAAAATATAATGGGTAATTTAATAAATAAAATGCAGAATTTTTGGCATAATTACCATTTTTTCATTACTGTAAGGGGTAGGTTTAAGGTTGGAGTAGACGTTAATAAAATATTATGGGTAATTTAATGAATAATATAAGAAACATTTGGAATAATTCGTTTTTACATTACTGTGAGGGTTGGGTTTAGGGTTGGGGTAGATGTTCATAAAAATATAAAGGGTAATTTAATAAATAATATGAAAATACTTGGTATAATTAGTGTTTTTACAATACTGTTAGGGTTGGGGTTGACACTAATGAAATATAATGAGCATTTTAATAAATAATAGCAAAATTCTTGGAATTATTACTGTTTTTACATTAATGTGAGGGTTGGGTTTAGGGTTGGGGTAGACGTTAATAAAATGCAATAGGTAATTTATTAAATAATATGAGAAATACCTGCTGTAATCATTGTTTTTACATTACTTTAAGTGATAGGTTTAGGGTTGGGGTAGGAATAAGTGTGAATAAAACCCAATTAATCCATAATTTAATAAATAATATAAATAATTCTCTTTAACTTCCAGTCGCAGCTGTATCCCCTTTAGCAACAACCTGTTGAGGTTAATCAGAAGCAAGCAAAAGATGGAAAGTATAGCAAATTTCATTTGAGAGACAATGGGTCTCATTCACTAAACCAACGTTTTCATGAATAAATCATGACTCATCAAAAACTTTAGAGATTAGAAATGTAAAAACTTAAGAACAACTTATACCACACAAATGCAATAATCATATGAGCATGTATAAAGAACCATAAATAAAAAATAATTCATCACTTATAGGGTGGATGAAAAGTTTCTATGAGAAGTTCATATACAAAAAAAACGCATGCAATTATTAGTGAATGAGACCCAATATCTTTATTTGTCATGCACTTTTTTAATTAAAACTTTGCAGAGGGTTTACATTGAAGGACAAATGGCAAATAAGATATTTTTGGGATAAAATCATGCATGCTGCTCTTTAAAGTCAGTCAGAAAAGAGACAAAGAGAAGGACAGGGAAAGAGAAAGAGAAAAAAATCTCTTTTCTGTGTCAGTCTATTTCTAGGTTGAGGAGAGACGGCCGAGACAAAGACAGACAGAACCAGATTATATCCAGGAGAGAGGACAGATCAGAAAAGAAGGGGAAGAAATAAAGAGAAATGTAGCGAGTCCGAGACAGAAAACTGGAAGCGGAGGGAAAGACATAACAAGAAGAGCAGAAGGAGGGAGGGTTTGAACAGGAGAGCCCCTTCAGTGCTGTTGATGGCCCTCTACGGCCTTGTCTTAGTTCCCAGAGCCATCATTTAGACTTGTATTTGAGACATTCCACAATAAAGATGTCAAATAGAAGGCAAGTCTATCGCCTCTAGGGAAACAGCCTGGAGTTACTCCAACCAGACCCACAGCCAAGATAACCAAGAAAATACAGAGGGGTGGGGGGGGGGGGGGTGGGGGGGGAGCAAAAGGATGGGAGAAAGAGAGAGAGAGATTTCAAGGGGACAAAAAAGGATGAAAAGTTACAGAAAGTGAAAAATAAAGACTTAATTATGAAGGAAAGGGTATTTGCAGTTCTTACACAATGACTGTTATGGTAATGTCTTGTTTTTTGTTCTTTTGTTAGTTATTTTTGCACATTGTAAGGTAAACCATGTTGTTTTAATACATAAATTGTCAAATACAATATTATTCATTAAAGGGGAGGCATGTAATTATTTTAGTTTTAGTTTATTTACTTATAAATATCAATAAAACAACAGTTGCTGACCATTGTGCTGGACATACTTGATAAACAATAGAATAAATCAACATACAGTACATCCAGCATACCACACAACATCAAAGATAAAAAAACAAGACAAAACATAGGAACTATAGGATCAATTTTCTCCCAATTTAAAAGCTCTAACTAAGAGGTGTAGTTTAAGTTTCCCTCAAAACAAAGATTCGCTGGAAATTGTTCTAATGGACATAGGTAGCCCTTTCCACATTTTAGGGCCAACTACAGAGAAAGCTCCATCTCCTTTTTCTTTTATTTGGATGTGGGAACTATTAGCATTTTCTGGTTCAACGACCTTAAATATCTGGCAGATATTTTAGCAGTAATAAGATTTGAACTATAAGATGAAGCCTGGCCGATTAATACCTTAAAACATACATTAAAACACAATTCTAAAACATATCGACAACCAATCTAAGGAGCACGTTCGCCTCACAGAAAGAAGGTCACGGGTTCAAACCTCAGTTGGCATTTCAGTGTGGCGTTTGCATGTTCTCCCCGTGTTCGCGTGGGTTTTCTCCAGGTGCTCTGGTTTCCCCCACAGTCCAAAGACATGTGGTGAAGGTGAATTGTTAAGCTAAATTAGCTGTAGTGTATGTGTGTGAATGAGTGTGCATGGGTGTTTCCGAGTGATGGGTTGCAGCTGGAAGGGCATCCGCTGCGTAAAACACATGCTGGATAAGTTGGCGGTTCATTCCGCTTTGGAGACCCCAGATTAATCGAACTAAGCCGAAAATAAAATGATTGAACAAATGAATGAGTTTATTTTATAATTATTTTACAATGTTTCTTTTGGTTTCATTGTCTATGTATACATTGCTTCAATTTTAAATTTTTCTCCCAGCCAGTTTCATATTATGATTGTGAATGTTATTTGCGTAGGCCTTTTATTCCATAAATACTTAGACCAATGTTAGATGGGTGGAGTGGGAGGGAGGGTTTTGAGCTCATTTTTGTAGTAAGCTAAATTCACGGTGAGTACTTCCAACAGAACTTTGATATATGGTCCATCTCTTCCTTGTAAGGATTTAGGCGGTACTGTGTGTATGAAGGTTTTTGCAATGAAAATGAAAATAAAGAGTTCACACTTTATTTTGATGGTCCATTTGTTGAATTTAAGTTACATTGCATCTACAGTAGATTATAAGTAGATTGTTAGGTTGGGGTTAGGGTTAGTGTAAGCTGACATGAACTTGGAAACTTTCTTATAGTCAGTTAAATGTCTGTTCAAGGAGCAGTATCAGCAGATATTAAGGAGACAGTCTACTAATACTCAAATGGACCATCAAAATAAAGTGTTGCCCAAACAATTAAATAAATAAATTTCGGCCTGTTCAAACTACTTATTTAAAATGAGTTGAAACAACTCAATCCTTAAGTTTTTTGGGGGGACAACTTAATTGTTTTACGTTCAATCCACTTAAATTTGTAAAAACGATTAAGTTAACTTAATTAATTTGGGTTGAGACAACAAGCATTTGTGTGGAACCCAGCATTTTTAAGTACAGTGTACTTAATCATCTTACAGCAACAGTTTTTAAAACAATTTTACTCACATTTTTTAAGTAAAGTCAACTAATCTCTTTTTAAAATGTACGTTGTACTTAAATACTAATGTACTATAAGTAATGCACTGTAAATACTATATTTGACCTCATGATTGCACGATTGTTACCACTACCAGGTCTGCTTTGAAAGAGACACAAATTAGGAGCAAAACATGGAAAGCTGAAGGAGGTGCTAAAGGTCCCTAAAGGTCCGAGCCCTGGTGTCCTGCTCTGGGATCCATCATCATTACGGCGTCTAATGAAAAATGATGACCTCAGCATCCTGAAACTCGGCTCAGTGCACATATTTGCTTTGGATTATGAAAGCAGAGATGAGACGAGAGCAGTTCAAGTTCTTCACTCCAGCTGCTCAGAAACACACACCAGTCTTGCTGTCTGTATCTCTCTCTCTCTCTCTTTATCTCTCTTGCAACATTGATGTTTGAAAGCGTAACACGTTGTCATTGTGACACTACAGAGCCACCACACTTCAGGTTGATAAGTCGCTTTCAAAACCAAACACACATCTGCACTCACTTATAACGCAGACAGGCCCGCTACAAAAAAACACACTTTTTAACGAATTCCTCAATCCCCACAGCAATCCAGCAAAAACCATGAGACCCGGCCCTCACTCTCCGGGTCGTGGAATTTCATCTTTGAACTATTTCAATAAATATGAGATGGCAAGTTATTAATTTTCTCTCAGCCCTTTTCTTCCCCTGCTTCCATTTTTAACCGCTAACGTAAACATCGGACCTGCACTGCCGATTTCTGGGAAGTGGATGCGATTGCGCCACTGGTGACATTTGGGTGACATTTTTAAGAGATGAAAAATAATCGCACGGTTCCTGTTGGCGGGCTCCTGTCAGAACGGGGAATGGACTACTGGCGCTAGACGTGGCTCGGCTGGCCTTTTCCGAGGCGCTGCATGGAAAGATCGCGGAGGCAGATTTGTTTACGTTTGCAAAGGGGGTCATTACAGAGGTTGTTAGCCGGGCAACGAAATGACGAGGAGGAAGCTCATCTGTAAGTCCTTCAGAAGAGGCAACTGTGTGTGTGTGTGTGTGTGTGTGTGTGTGTGTGTGTGTGTGTGTGTGTGTGTGTGTGTGTGTGTGTTTGTGTGTGTGTATTTTGTTCTCTCTAGATCCTTAC